TAGTATTCTTTCGTTTCTCGAGAAGATGAAGATTGAATCCCTAGATGAAGAAGCTCACGTGATAGTATCATTTTACGAAAGATTTAAGTGCGGCAGGACTGCATGTTCGATTGTATGTACATTTAATAAGTGCATCTACTTAATTCGGTTAAATGAAGAAATTATACTTAATCCTTCTCAATTAATTATACTTTTTACCATGTATTCTTTGACTCACCAGATATTATTTCATTTTTAATTTCGTTCTCTACAGCTGAAAAAGCAGATTACACAAATTAATATATGTTATTTAATACTTTAAAATATTGTGTATATTGGTTTGTATATATGATACATTACACACACACACACACACACACACACACACACACACACAGAGGAAAATCGCCCGCAATATTTCGGGAAGTGATTCAGGACTCAAAAAAAAATTATATAAACGTAAGTCCAGAAATAAGTCATTTCCGAGTTATAACCACTTTCCTGTTTAAAAAATTGTAATTTATTTTACATAATCACCATTATAATTTATTTTTCATCCCAGTAAACGAGAATGGATTAAAATGGATTGAAATTTTTTTCTATCTGAATGCGTATTTTAAATAACGAATATTTTTTTTGGATTCAATTAGATTCAGTTGGATGCAATTGGATGGAAAAACTGCATTTTCTATTCAAAATTCTGAATTGAACAGTATTCACAATGCACAATGCAGAAAAAGCTAATATTATTTTTAGATTGAAAGGCATAAAGATATGCTCTCTACTGCAATTCTTATAAATGAATAAAAATGTATTCAGGATTGAAAAACATTTAACATTCGTGAATCAGTATTTCTGAAAATTTGAATCCATTTCAATTCATTTCAATCCATTCTCATTTGTTGGGAGTGTTTTAACATAAATAACTACATTTCGGACTAATTTGTCATTACCTAGAATGCACCACGTGGAGGCATAGCCCGCTTGACATCCCTCTAGTAAAATAAAAACAATTTGAAACTAAAAAATAAAAAAGAGGGATGCCAAGCGAGCTATGCCTCTACGTGGTGCATTCTGGGTAATATCAAAATATATAAATAGTCCGAAATGTAGTTATTTATGTAAAACACTAAAATAAATTATGATTGAACACTAAAATAAATTGTGATTATAAAAAATAAATTACAATTTTTTTAACATAAAAGTGATTATAACTCGAAACGACTTATTTCCGGATTTATGTTTATATAGCTTTTTTTCTTTTTTTTGAGTCCCAAATCACTTCTCGAAGTATTGCGGGTGATTTTCCGGACATTCTGTATATGTATAATATATGTCTCCTAATGTAAGAATCTGTTAGTGATATATACCATACCATAGCGACGAAGAGACTAGGATGCTTATAAGCAATCACAGATACATTTAGATGATGATGCCCAATGGATTACATGTCTTTCTTTTTCGATTTATCGCGTTTTATTTTCTAGATTTTATTTTCTTGGTCACGATTATTGTAATATTCAAAAAGAAAAAGCAATTAAATTTCGACTTATACGATATCGAATAATATTTTGTATATGGTACAGCACATTTTATTCAAGGGACATCCTATAGGAACATCTTTAGGAGTGCAATCCACTTCACGCTGCAAGTGTTTTGAAACATTCTTTCATTGGTCAATTCGTAAAATTTTATTTTTTGATTGGTCAATTAAGTATTTGCAGCGTTAAGTGGATCACACCCTAGGATACCTCTTGGAGACCTATGTGAGTATTATATATATATATATTCAGTCTTTATAATAGCACTGATAAATAAACTTTCATTGTTTAACATATATATCATCCAGAATTTAAATTGCGTTGCTAATGGCACACATACGAACAACAATTAAAATAATATTAACTTACTGTTATTATTTAATTATGTATTCCGCTATAATATTGTTTAGAAATGTAATAAAAATGATTATTTCTAGAATATCATGAATGACAAAAAATCATTCGTGCTTTGCGATAAAAATCGAAAAAATTATCGGAAAAAATTTTAATCGTAAATTTGTAACAAATGGAATGCATTCTAATGGCAAGATAACATTTTTCAGATATGGAAGCAATGATCTTTACATTACATTTTAATTTACGATTTTGAATATGATTTTGAATTTGAAGCGAGATTGGCGTGCAAAAAAGTGCTCTTCCATCAACGCGCCATCCCACAAGTCGACCGTTGCAATGACAAAACTACGAATTGGGCTATGAATTGATTTCTCATCCACCCTATTCTCCGGATTTGGCCCCGTGTGACTTCTTTCTGTTCCCAAACTTAAAAACTTGACTCGGTGGGAAGAAATTCTCGTCAAATGAGGAAGCCATCAATGAGTATTTTGCAGACTTTGAGACAGCTTACTTCAAATGACTACCAAACGTGAACTATGCGTTCTTTCTGGCTGAAATTTGGTTTGAAAGGGTTCGAAGAGTGGATCTTTCGAGATGTCGCGTCATCAAATGGATTGTAGCGCCATTTCATGGAAATTTACCAAACTTATCAAACGATCCACGTACATAAATACGAGTTTTGAAAAAGTCAGTCTGTTAATTTCTTAAAACCTATATACGTAAAAGTAAATATACATATAACTGATTCTTCAATAATTTCCTAACAAAAGCCTTAAGTTGCATTATTCATATAATTAATTTTATATTTTGATGTATTCTTGTTTCTTGATATTGCATTAAATATGTCGTAAGAATAAAATTTACAATTTTGTATAAATTTACGATGATATTTTATCTTCTACTCTATCTAAATTAATATTGACATTAGAATTGAAAAAACGTAAAATTTTATGGATATTTCCAAAAGCAATTATAAACAGTTGTGATATTTTCGCTGATAATATTAGATTAACGTTTATTAAAAATTGCTTGTATGACGCAATATTTGTAGCATATGATTTATTTGATTTCGGCTTTTTATCAATAATATATGTATTGTGAACGTCTGATTGAAATATAATGCTGTAGAAGATTAAGAGGATATAGAAAGGATTTTTCTGTTTTTCATCATTTTTGCAATTGTTTTTACATTGTAATCGATTAACGTTATGGTTTTTTGATTTAATGTTAATTAAGGTCCATTTATTCGCTGGGTGAATCACTACTCGTCGCACTCATTTGTAGATCGTTCAGTTCCGCTGGTGATGGTAGCAGGAAGCTTGGTCTCCTAGATAGTTCTTCTTCATACAGGCTAGAAGTGCTTCTCGGTCTTGAAATCAAACTCCAAGGATCTGGTGATATTACGACGGAGTTGTCCTGTAATTTTCCTGATTTTATATTTGTAAGTTTGGGTAATTTTTATACATAAAAATATAATTATAAAATTACATAAATGTTAACATTTTTGGAAAGAAGAAGCTTCAAAGAAAACTAATTTAAGGTCGGTATTCATAGTCGATTCTTATATTTGAGAATATCTTAAATACAATCTTAAGATATTGTAAGCAATCAGAGAGTTGCATTAGTATTTTAAGACATTACCCAGCAAATGAGAATGGATTGAAATGAATTGAAATAGATCCAGATTTTCAGAAATATTGATTCACGAATATTAAAATGAGTGCTTTTCAATTCTGAATGCATTTTTATTCATTTATAGGAATTGCAGTGGAGAGCATATGTCTATTTGCTTTTTCAATCCAAAAATAATATTAGCTTTTTCTGTGCACAACACACATTGTGAATATTCAATTCAAAATTTTGAATAGGAAATGCAGTTTTTCAATCCAATTGCATCCAATTGAATCCAATTAGATCCAAAAAAGGATTCGCTATTTAAAATACGCATTCGGATAGAAAACAATTTCAATCCATTTTAATCCATTCTCATTTGCTGGGCATTTAAGATGATCTTAAAATAAGATTAATATTCATAGTCTATTCTTATTTTAAAACCACTAAAAAAGACACTAAAAAATAGCGATGTCTATGTAATTCTCATTATGTTGTAATGTTAACATCAATATGATATGGATTTAATACTATGATGTTAATACAAATACCAGATTTAAAATTCACATCGTATTGATTAATATTAATACCAACTTAGCAAGAATTATGTAAACACCGCATGGATGTTAAATCCATACATAGAGATGTTAAATCCACCGATATTTTTTAAGTAATATCTTAAGATGGTAATGTGTTTCCTGATTGGTTCATAACATTTTAAGATTGTACTTAAAACTATATTTAAGATAATTTTAAATATAAGACTTGACTATGGCCAGTATTCATAGTCCGTTCTTATTTTGACATCGCTTTAAGGATTGTCGCACACAAAATTCCGTAACAGTATGCATAAAGTGTAAACTTAAGCCGATAATCAATCAGGATATTGCTTTAGATTACGTACATCTAATGGAAATGGAAATAACAGTAAATTTATCCATAACCTCGCAATAAGATGAATCGATTGAAATTCATCTTATTTATGGATAAGTTTACTGCTATTTCTATTTCCGTTAGAGATAGCCATAGCATCTAAAGCAGTATTCTAATTGGCTCATCAGCTTAAGTTCATGTTTTAAGGTTACTGTTACAGAAATTTTGTCTGCAGCAGCCCTAAGTAATGTCTTAAAATGCTAATACGGCCCTCTGATTGGTTCGTGACATCTTAAGATTGTATTTGACGATCTCGAATATAAGAATCTATGAATACCGTCTATATGAATACCAGTCCAAGCGACCTTCAAGTAATTAAAAGATAGTATCTTTAAAGGGAGAAAGTTAAGTCAAAGATCAATCTTTAAGTAATTAAGCGTGATTTCGACAAGTTTGAATAATTATTTTAATGCGAGAGAGAGAGAGAGAGAGAGAGAGAGAGAGAGAATCTACCATCAGTAAATGCTTGGCAGTCGGTGGCAGAGGTGGTTGTAGGAGAGCCACGTCAGTGAGATTACATCTCAGTGATGCAGCCGAAGCTGCCATGGGTGGATCCGGCGGCGAGGGGAGATTCATTGGCGGTTCATATAGAGATAGTCGAACGTTCTGCATCGAACCAGTCGCAGTGGATCCAAGGATCCATCGGGCTATGCTTTCACAGCAGCCGCAACACACGTCCGACATCCCTTGTCGCAACCCTCTGTGCAGAAGAAGGAATAGAGCCGGGTTTATGAAGGCGTGCACATACGCGATGTGTAGGGTCACCTGATACAACAAACCGCGAAATCCAATGATTTAGATACGATGTACAGTTTGCATCGTGCTGCTGCAAACATAAATCTAAAGCTAATTCAAAATTGCATGATAACGTGTTTGTGAAAAAATAGAAAAAAAATAAAATTATATAAAGAAATTATATAGAAAGAAATTATATAAAGAATCTGCACTTCTTTTTAAATATGAAAATAAAATTATGATGTAATTAGTTTATCCCATAAGAATAATGAAAAACATTAATTTTTTATTATTTGTATGATTTTGAAAAATATTAGTTTAATTTGTATGGATAATTTAAGGATATCTATTTAAATTGAGGAAAGATTATATTTAAAAATATTTATATTTAAAAAAACAAATATACAATTAAAAACGCAGTTATCAATGAGTAGAAATATTCAAACTTACAAATATTAATTAGAAGCAAAAAAAAAAAATTTACGTTTCAGCTTTTTTTTCCAAACCATCTTCAAAAAGTTAATATATGTTATACCAAGAAATTCATCACTGTCGATCTAAAGATAGATAACTTCTATGACATAAAAGATGTCATATGTTGGAAATTACCAGAATCAATCCAGTAGATATAGATATCCACATCACAGCTAACACAAATAATAGTCAAAAATAGCTCACATGGAAACCTATACAATATATAATTATTCATGGAAATCATAAATTGTCATAGAAAATATGAAAAAGGTATATGTGTGTGTAATATATATATATTCTGCTGGTCCATCTTTTTCGACATTGAATTTTTTCTGCGATAATTCCCTCAAAATGGTTCCAATTCACAAAAAAATAATTTCTGTCTTTCAGCTCGGTCAGACAAGAAGAGAATCGACAGCTCATTGAACATTTGAGTTCCTTTTTATTACACTTTCAACATTGTTTTGGTTTTTAAGTATATTTTCCACAAAAATTAATCTAAAGGAGTTTTTTCTTTTTTTTTAGCATGTGTGTTTTTTTTCTGCATCGTTTAAGACCTTACACGTTTCATTTAAACAATTAGGTGCATTGTTAATGATTAAAAAATAAAAATAAATAAATAGTGTAACTCCGGTATATCCGCCGACGGATCTTTTTTGACATTTGATTATTTTTTTTAGGGCACCACCTAAAATTATGTTCCAATATATATATATATATATTGGAACATAATTTTAATATAATTGTTATAAAATATATATAAAGGAAAGACTCAATAAATATGAATAAATGAATTATAAATGAACGGATTACAAGCTAAATATACGAGATAAATAATACTTGTAAAATTTTAGATTATAAGAATAGAAATTGTGCTGATTAACAAATGAAAATCTGTCTGAAAAATGTATTTTTTAAAAATTAATTTATTGATTTTTTAATAATTTATATATTATAAAATATAACGATAATATAATAATATTTACGTTAACTTAACTGTAAAATTAATTTTTTTCTAACAATTGCAATGATTTCAAAAGGATTTCTTTTTTAGTATCTGGAAACTGTTTGCGATAGTTGCTAACAACTTTTAATAAAAATTGTTTTTGTTTCATTTGTTATAATATTACTGTAACTGATAATTAGCTTTATTCCTCGTTCTGGTATGTTATTAACAACTTTTAAATTCTTAACAATATGGAGTTTTTTTTTTAAATGATCGTTTATAGATCAAGTTAAAGGATCAATTTATAAAAAATTAGGATTTATAATAAACCTTAGAAAAAATGTTAGAAGAAACAAATTATTTATCTAGTGATGTATTGATTACTGATGTCCCCAGATTACTGAAAAAAACCCTGATTTTTTACAAATTGGTCCTTCAATTTGGTCTCAAATGAACATTAAAAAAAAAATTTCATATTGTTTTAAGAATTTAAAAGTTATTAATGACACAGCAAAACAGGGAATAAAATAATTATCAATTACAGCAATATTATAACAAAAGATGAGAAATAAAAGCAATTTTTATTAAAAGTTGTTAGTGACTATCGCAAACAGTTTCCAGATGCTACTCGTAAAAAAGAAACTCTTTTGAAATCATTACAGTTATTAGAAAATTAATTTTACAGCTAAGTTAATTATTTTATATTTATTATCATTGCATTTTATAAATTATAAACAAATCAATAAAGGATTCACCATTGATAGTTTTTAAATTTTCATTGTATCCGTTATTCTTTGTTCGTTAATTTAAGATTGTATCTCTGCGTTGTAACACTGAAAAAGGCTTTGTAAGTCAAAACGTTTGTTAATTATATTAATGTAAAGTTAATTTAATTATCTCGAAATAAATCATGACATTGTGTTG